GTTAGGTTTTGTTACACACCGAATGTTGCTCATTTCTCCTTGTAAGTGAATTGCTTTTTGAATGTCTGTCTGAAAAATCTAAGATAATGATGGTTTTGAAGACATGTGAAATCGGTTTGCTAAGACATTCTTGGTAGTTGATTTTGCTGTTTAGTACTGTTGCTGCCATCTTTCTGGTCAAAACCTACCAGGTAGGCTGGAGCCTATCTCCAGAGATTACACCTCAAAAATCAGGAAAAATCTCCAAAAATGGCTATTTTGTCTTAGAAAATAATAGTCCGAGGCAACTATAAATTTTAATTTGGAACATTGTTTATAAAAGTACAAAGGTGGCGTTGGTGGAGGAGATGGTGGTGGTGGAGGAGGTAGTGTTGGTGAAGGAGGAGGTGGTGGTGAAGGAGGAGGTGGTGGTGGTGGTGGTAGTGGTAGTGGAGGAGGTGGTGGTGGTGGTGGTAGTGGTAGTGGAGGAGGTGGTGGTGGAGGAGGAGGTGGTGTTGGTGGGAGGGAGGTGGTGTTGGTGGAGGAGGTGGTGGGGAGGGAGGAGGGAGGAGGAGGAGGAGGAGGAGGAGGTGGTGGTGGGAGGAGGAGGAGGTGGTGGGAGGAGGAGGAGGAGGAGGAGGAGGGAGGAGGAGGAGGGAGGAGGAGGTGGAGGAGGAGGTGGTGGTGGGGGAGGAGGAGGTGGTGGTGGTGGAGGAGGAGGTGGTGGTGGGAGGAGGAGGTGGTGGTGGTGGAGGAGGAGGTGGTGGTGGAGGAGGAGGAGGTGGTGGTGGAGGAGGAGAAGGAGGTGACGGCATTGGTGGAGGAGAAAGTGGTGGTGGTAGTGGAGGAGGTTGTGGTGGTGGTGCTGTTGGTAGAGGAGGTGGTGGTAGTGGAGGAGGTTGTGGTGGTGGTGCTGTTGGTAGAGGAGGTGGTGGTAGTGGTGGTGGAGGAGGTGGTGGTGTTGGTGGAGGAGGTGGTGGTGGTGGTGTTGTTGTTGGTGGAGGAGGAGGTGGTGATATTGATGGAGGAGGAGGTGGTGGTGTTGATGGAGGAGGAGGTGGTGGTGTTGATGGAGGAGGAGTATACTGCCAGATCTGGGGTCACTAAGCCTAAGGGGATAACTTAACTATAATCTTAATTTTAAAGGTTGCTGCCACCAGACCCCCTCTGGACAGTATGTAGCTCGTTAGATAGCGTGCAGAGTGGACTAGGCATTGGGTTAGGTTTTTCATTGACCAGATCGGTAAGGGGAAAGAAAGGTGAAACCATTACATGTCTTAATTTATTCCTTAGAAAAAATACTGTAACAAAAAATACAAGTGAGCTGACCTTCCTCAGAAGAACAACGATGATTTTGGTTATCCTTCTTATAATGTCACTCAACACGTCGGACTGCTCCACCTGTATGGAATATAGCACCTTAGGTCATCATACATAGTAACACCATCTCACCTCCCTGTAGCACCAGCTCACCACACCTGCAAGCATGGGACTCCTTGTAATTTCTAGGTACACATATCAGGCACCTCGTTCGCACACCGTCCTCGGTGGATAGAGACGAGGGCTACACCCAGAGATATACCAGTACTGTTTCTGCGCCTGGTATTATAGGTCGCTCCAAGTGACGACCGCGGAGTTTCTCAAGCATTTCCTTATTTATTCCTACTCATTTGGGGTGGTCTGCTGGGAATCCACAGGTTCACAATGGAATAGTATAGCTGGTAGTCACCTCACATGGTGGGACACTCACAGGGAGAATGGCCGCCGCCCAGCAAGGTGCTCGGACCGCGTGTGACCTGAGGTGATGGTAGAACGGAGGACACTGAGGGATAATGCCTGATGGGTGGTTATCACACCCCATAACACATTACTATTTCACTTATACATCAGGCAAAGCTTTAAACTGTAATAACTGCTGTATAAGCTTTTTTTTCAGGGCGGGATGTAGGCCGATGGAGGACACTGACCTGAGGTGATGGTAGAATGGAGGACACTGAGGGCAGTGCCCCGCCGCTCATCACCATGTAGGCCTACAGTTTCCAATCTTTAATTTTTACTTTTATTTCTTACGGTTCTCACATGAACACTTTCCTGTATATTGTAACCTCATGCCTTATAAACACATATTTTAATCCTAAATTACACACTAAGGTAAGGTTCTGGTTTGCTAGTTCGTGGGTTAATTCATTGGGTTATAATATCAACGCGGAACCCTCGAGGTAGGTACAAAGGACGCTCCCTTAAAACAAAAGCCGAATGTTCATGGCGAGGGTATATACACTTCACTTAAAACTGTAATTAGGGATCCTCCTCTCACACATTGCACTATTTGAACACAGACATAAGATTCTCTGATCACTGTACATGTCGTGGGTATAAGTCACGCGAGGATACGAGGTGTATTAAGTTCACACCGATGCATACAAGATATTTCCTTTCAAGTATAGTTTTTGGGTCACTCCCAACACCTCATATAGTTCTGATACATTTATCCTTTTTCCAGATCATTGTTCTCATGCATTTTCATATGATATCTGTGGAAGTTATGTTCGCTACACGTTCACAGACGTAAATAGTACGACCTTTAAACCATAATCCACACTTCTGACAACTTTCTGTACTGGGCCCACACCCTGCCAGTGTTGCTGCATCTCGATCATCCTGCCGGTTTTGTTTTTTGTTTTGTTTTATCCTCTTCACCACTGATCTGCTCGTTAGCCGCTTGGTGGGATAGTGATCCTTTGTATATATCTTACTAAAAGTAATGGAAAAATAGCCCATTTATTTTGTAATTGCATATAATACATTCAGTAGTATGCTTTTGTTTGTCTTTAACAAAAAAAAATAATAATAATTAGCTATTTAACGAGAAATAGTTCGACTCAAATTGTATTAGGCTATTTTAATGAAGCGTTTCATTCAAATACTGTAACGCAATTGAAGTAATTTTGTTAAAATATAAATATGCCTTCATTTTGATGTCAGTCAATATTATGTATAATTTCATAATAAAATAATGGCAAATACTGTAATACAAGCCCAATATTATTATTTCAAAACATGCAGAGTATCTACTCCGCATACAGCTCTTCGGACTGAAAGCTCCCCACTTTTTTTTTTGCGACAAATTAGTCTGCGTAGCAATCGAATAATGTATGAACCGGCACCTCTTTGTAACAGTGGTGGTCGCGTCACCGCTTATATGAACGTACAGTATATGCTTGGTGAAGTTGGAAGGTAACGGGGGGCACAGCCTGTGATTGGTGGAAAGATACTTCCACAAACCCCTAACTAACACAAACTACTTTTAGGCTGCGCTACCGTGGATATTAAATGGGACACTTGAGAGTTGATAATAATAATAATAATAATAATAATAATAATAATAATAATGATCCATAAGTTTGTAGTGGTAATAAAGGGCAAAGGCAGTGACCAACATTTATTTCTAGTCAAGTTGGGTAGGGTTGGGCTAGGTTAGGATGGGTTGGGTTAAATTTTGTTGAATTGGGTCAGGATGGGTGGAACTGAGCTGGGTTAGAATTAATGGGTTGGGTTGGGTTGGGTTGGGTTGGGTTGGGATGGGTTGGGTTAGGATGTTAGATTGGGTTGGGTTAGGTTGGATTGGGATAGGATAAGTTGGGATGGGTTAGGATACGTTGGGTTGGGTTGGATTGAACTTAGGTGACTTGGGTTGGGTTGGGTTAGGTTGGATTAGAATGGATTAAGTTGGATGAGGAGAGGATAGGGTAGAATGAGTTAGGTTAGGATAAGTTAGTTGGGTTGGATTAGAATGGATTAAGTTGGACTAGGAGAGGATAGGATATTGGGTGAGGAAAAGTTCGGTTGGGTTAGAATAGGTTAGGTTGGGTCTGGACGTCACAGCTGGTACAATAAAACATTACCGTGCACAACAAGGCAAGTAATTGAGTGTAAACATTACTTATATAATATTAATTACCAGTATTTACATGTCCTCGTCAGCCGCTATTACAAAATACTTATTTGTTTATTTTTTTAATCTGTAAATGTTACAAAAAATGTACATCTGTATACAGCTTCCATTATCTTCGTCACACAAGAACATAATTATTATATAATGGCAATATGACCTCTGTTAAAAGTTACAGTACAGTACACCACAAACAGGACCGAAAAGACATAGTTTTAGGCGATACGAAAGGAGCGAACTTATCCCAACAAGGCTAATTTGACCAGAATTACTCTAAGCTTGTTGGATTAGTATAGATTAGATACAGTTTCTCTGATATTGGAGATAAAAATCAATTACTTTGCATTTGTGTCGGCGATGTGTACTGTACTGTACATCGACCATATTGCTGTACAGTGATCCCTCGGTTAACGAGCGCCTCGGTTAACGAATTACCTTCCATAAGATTCTTAACTTCGGTTAACGAGTTTTTTACGAGCCGACCTCAACATGTTTTCGCTTGCATTTGGCGGTCCACCAGCTGTAGTATTAGTCCGCCAATACAGTAATCAGTTTTAGGGCTGAAATTCCTTACTATTTTAGTAAATATCAAGAAGTTTATACTATTCAATAATTTTAAAAGTTTAATATTAAATTTTTTAGTAATTTTAACAATTACTAAACATAATTGAAGGTAAGGAAATTAGTTTTATGCGCGCCATCTAGCCTGTCAACACACCAAACAGGCGCCAGTCTCTGTCTTTTCAGTGGAGGTAACATCTTGCTTGAGACTCTCTTCAACTAAATGCTTTTTTTTCGGTTTCCAAGCAAATTATTGGTCATTTTGAAATTTATTTTACATATTGACAATATATAATGCAGTGCAGTGTTGATTTAAAGAAAATAATCTTGAATTACACCAAGAGAACTAAAATTTTATGGGTGAAATGGCTCCATGGGGTGACTTCTCTTCCACCCCAATGCCTTCTCTTCTCCCTTCTCCTCCACCCCCATTCTAATTCCCATCATCATCATCCAGGAGCCTTCTACATACACACCTCAAAGTAAGTGTACTTTTCTACCTTTTTTGTTGAATTTAGGCAATTTTCGGTGAGCTGGAACCAATTACCCAAAAACCCATTGAGACAATGGTTTCGGTTAACGAGTTCTTCGGTTAACGAGCAACCTGCTGGAACGGATTGTGCTCGTTAACTGGGGGATCACTGTACCCTACTACAGTGTAACAAAGTCTGGGAACTAGTGTATATATTCTTATTGCTCTTATCTGTTTATGTCAGGCCAAGCTGGGTTTGTTGTTGTATATGTAATGACCCATGAGTGTTCAGCAGCGACTCGCTTCCAACAGTCAACACAAGCGTCTTCCTGACACTGTTTGCATGTACTGTGGCACACAAAAGTACCTGGATACTTTTGACAACACCTGGCATCTATCTGAAGGTCATGTAAGGAAAAATAATTTTAACATCTATTTACTAAGGGCTTTTTTCATTGTAGAGTGTTTTTTCATGTTATAATAAGATGTGACCCGCGTCCATCAACTACAAGTATATCTCATTTATGAACTACAGGCACTGTACTACCAAGTGTCGAAGTAATATGGTAACAACTGCTTACATTATTGTTTTTTGTTAGACAATAACAGTTGTTTAATACCAAGAGATAGTTAGTTAGGTATCCGCTGGTGTAGTGGGATGAAGGCGACAATCTACTTGTTGATGCTATAATGAATTACAGTACAGTACTACACTTCAACACCTAAGGTCTTGTTGACGTTATAATGAATTACTACACTTCAACAGCTAAGGTCTTGTTCATGTTATAATGTATTATTATACTTCAACAACTATGGACTCGACGCCAGTAATTATCTCAAGAAAAATCAGCAACTTTTATTGTATAACAAACCGTAAGTCAAGTAGCTTAGCCAAGTAAATGTCATTAAGTACTGCATAATTTCTGTATTAATGATCCCAGAGTGTAGTTAATGCCTTGTAGAATGTGTAACTGTAGAGGGTAGAACAAAGGAAAGCGAGCCAACGGCGGCGCGACTGCTGGGACGAGCACGACGTAACTGAGGAAGACAAGTGCTGCCCTGTTTACGTGATGGTGCAGGTTGTTGACACCTGAGGGGAAGTAGAACAAAGTTATGAAGTTACTTATTAAAACTATGTTATTAGCTGTCGTAAATCACACAAAAATACAGTATCAGAATCTGTTCCTTAAACTAACACAGGATAGTTTAGTAATCAATTCTGAAAAAAAAAGTATTACTCTCACCAATGTACAGTACAACATATAAATGAAGACTAGACACTCCAACCTACCGTACACACCTGAAGGATGCTACCTGGGGGTTATGGAAGAGTTTGGGTATTTAATCATTAAGAAAAATAAACTGGGGTGCCTTATCTTCATGTACTATATTCCTTTCTAACTTAAAAATTATGTGATCAAATGTGCTCCTTCCTCGTTTTCAATGTCATCTCCTGCACTGTTCTGTATCATATTCGCGTTTTCCTTGCCTCTGCTGAAAACATCGGAACATCAACTACTCGCATCTTGGTGCATTTTACAAATAAGATATTACGTGAATCCCGGTGCCAGTGATGATACTACTAAATAAAGGTACGCAATGATTACCAACAACTATGCTAGCCTTACCTCCAGTACCGCAGGCTTGACGGTGTTGCTAGCAAGGTAGCGTACGGTTGTTGTGTTGGAGGACTCAACACGACTAGTCTGGACCCAGCAGGACGCCGCCAGAGCCCCTACTGCCTGCGGTCACCTGCAACACCAACAACACTCATTCATCTTTGTCATACGAACAGCGACTTACAATATTCTTCTACATTTTAACATCCATTGTCTGCCATCTATTAAAAAAAATAAACTTTTGGTATATATATAATACTGTGGTATATGTGAAAAAATACCCTATTTAATAAATACAACAGTTAGTAAATTGTGTAAACTTGAACTATGAATTAGACAACTTATTTATTCAGCAAGTTTGACGAAAAGTGAAGAGTTGTGATGCATGACTTCCCTCTGTCTGCTTGTCTGAGTGTGTTGAAGGTCAGAGATTAAACATGGCCACGGTGTAACACTCGCTCCTTTTGTAGTTCTCCGACAAGGAAATAAATATAAAGTGTTGTACAGACACCAGCTACAGGTTGTACCTCTCTAGTCCGGCATTCTATGGTCCGGAACGATTTTAGTTTGTCCAATAGGTAGATAGGCAGGTTTTTTTTTTTTTTTTACTTAACTGAATTATTATTATTATTATTACTACAGGAGTGTTAAATTTTTGCCCCTCAGACCCCAATGTGGGTCAGTGACCTATGCCCGGGTGGGCTAATCCCCATAAAAAAACAAACAACAAAGCCGCGGGAAATTAAGGTCTGTTTACATCCGGCAGTTCGGCTGCTCGCTCTCTCTCTCTCTCCCTCTGCTTGTCTATACAGAGTACAACATTTAACCCTTCAATATATATGAGCAGTAAATAAGTGTTGCTTTCATATTCTTATGTAGAGTAATGATGATATGTTTTCACATGTGCACACTTACATACGCGCAGTCTCACTTTTTTTTACCATTAATGGTTAGCTACTTATATTGTTCCATTTAGTAACATTAAATAACATTACAGGTACTTCAAACAACTATATTAATTTTTTTACATTAATTTTACTACAGCTACAATCAGGGTCTTATTTTCTTCAGTTTTATATGTAGATCCAATCAGTCACTGGTTTCGTAAGCTTTAACATAAACAATGCCGGCAGCCGTCTCGTCTCATCGTGTGTTTTCATATTCCATGTACTGTATTATTAATTGATTGTATTGTTAACTTTGCACACACAAACATTAATTCAATAAAAACAAATTCAGAAACATTAATTAAAATATATATGAACAGTAAATAAGTGTTGCTTTCATATTCTTATGAAAAGTAATGACGATATGTTTTCACGTGTGCGCACTTACATACGCGATCTCTCTTTTTTCTTTACCATTATCGTAGCTACTTCTATTGTTCCATTTATTAACATTAAATAACATTACTTAAAACAACCATATTAATTTTACTACAGCTATAACCAAGGTCTTATTTTCTTCAGTTTTATATGTAGAACCAGCCAGTCACTGGTTTTGTAATCAACGAAAGCAATGCTGTGTCATTTCCTCGTGTGTTTTAATATTCTATATTATTAATGAATTGTATTGCTCATTTTGCACACAAACATTAATTCAATAAAAAAGACATTCAGTAATAAACAATAATGAATCTTTTGTACATAAGAGAAATGACGCTGCTTACACGATTATGCACGTCGTCTGCACGTTGGCGGGCCGCTCAAACCCGTCGAAATTCAAGTTTTCGCCGTCAAATTTTTTATTTTATTTTTTTGTGTGTGTGTTCCAATAAAATACGTTGAATTAAAAACTCGCGAAATTTGAGAAGCTACTATACAACATTTAACCCTTCAATATGTCTTCAAAGAGACCATGATGCAGAGAAAGTGGTGCTAGTGCTTTCAAGCATAAGCACAAGTCACTAGCTATCCAGGAAAAGGGTGAATTTCCATGGTCCGGCACCGGTCAGGTCCCGAGGTTGCCGGACTAGAGAGGTACAACCTGTATCTGTCCAGTGTAGTTTCTCTTCACAAAAATAAATGTTATTTCCAAATTAAATGTTATTTTTGGTGATTGAAAAAGTTTATAAATACTGTATATAAGTAATGTGGATATAATTCCATATATTGTTCATACATTTTATAGATTCTGGCAATGTGCTGTGAATTTAGTGAGAAGAGCGGTAGTCGTAATGTTTACACTATCATAGTGTAGTGCAAAGTTAACAAGTAGCCCGCGACCGACAGTATTTAAGAGTGTACGGGAATAAAAGTAATTAAGCTCGAACATCCATAAATGTTTACTTTGTCTTCCACGTCCATCATGTGCCCTGCCGTATAACAAATATTTAGGTTCACGTGGAGACCTTCAAGAGACGACTCAACAAATAAAAATATCATACACTAAAACGAAGTACTGTGGCACCATTAGTCTCTGCCTCTCTTTAAGATGATAGTTTGTACCCACACACCTGACGTCTACCGGGTAGATGCAGAACTTTCCTTAATATTCTAGGCAGTCCTCTACCTTACCTTCATGGCTTTCGATGTTCCCATCTGAACTTTACTATGAATGTCCACGTTTATTTTTGTTGATTTGTTATTATTGATATGAACCCCAACCTAAGCAATGGACCTTACTTTTAGCAACTGATAGGAAATGAACTCATTCTTTAATAATTCCATTTTTACCATAACACTGTTAAATGGAAGGAGAGATGAATACCGGTCGATAAAGTATTCAAGTTGAGACACTTCGGCTGATTCTCTCTTCGTAAAGTCGAGAAACCTGGCCTTCTTGAGCACAGGGTCATCTAGAGGCAAATGGCTTCCAGCATAGTTAAATGCTTGTACATAAAAAGATCTGATGCCATGGCAGAACTATTTTAACATGTTTGTATCATATCCATCTGTGAACATTTTCTGGAGTGTACTTTTTGTTGAGATTCCTATGTCCAGCTGCTCATGAGTCTTCATGGCCGAGCCATCACCAAAGTTTATCGTCTCTGCTCCAATGTCTCTCATCATCTTGACATGTAGAAATTGGCAGGAAAGTTTTTTAAAGTAAATCATACAATACAGCATGCAAAACTTATATGACTGGGTTGAACTTATTCACATGAATAAATAGTTGTACTACCGACTGATAGAAAAAGTGATGAACTTGTGTCATGGGATTCTTAAATTGTTGCTGCAGATGTTTAAATCTTGCCTGGCTGTCATCACTGTCCAGGAAATAGCCTTTGAGGTGTTTTCCAGGCTCAACCAGCAGGTAGAGACATGTTTGGCCATGCCTGCATAGCGCATATACTGTATCACAAAACATGCAAAATTCTTGGAGACAGCTTCCTTTACCTGGTATGTTGATTTGTCAAACAAGTAGTAAATGTCTACACAGAAATCTTCAACATCAATGCCTGTTGTTTTTGTGTAATCCTCTCAGCAGCCTTGTACTGTATATAAGCAGTGTGGTGAAGAATGTGGCAAGAGCAGCCATTGAAGAAAACAGCTGGGTTTTTCGTGGTTACCCTAGTCATGATTGAGTTTTTCTTTCCTAGGTTCACAGAAGTAATATCCACACCAACGCCGACACAGTTACCCAAACAAATTTTATGCTGCATTAAGGTTTTATCCATTTTCTTAAAAATGTCTTCAGCTGTAGATCCTTTGGTCATGCACATGTCAAGCAGCAGAGTACAGACTCCATCATGAGTGAAAATGTGTACCGTTAGTGGGATAATTTTCAGCAGTCCTACTTCGTTGTCGTTTGATCCATCAACTGTTAAGGAATATGGCTTCGATTTAATTTCTAAAAACAATTTTGATTAAAAATGCTGGTTATGTGCCCTGTTCACAATGCTAGCGAGCGGCAGGTGTAGAAATCCGAGAGATTTTTGGGTTTATCCGGGAGACCGTGAGATAGACTTGAAATCCGCGAGTCACATAATTTCAGGTGTAGCGTCTGAGTTTGTAGTGAACTGAAAAATTTCCGGTTATGGGCAGTTTGATCTAAACATCATTGAAAGCTTAAGGGGTGCTGAGGTTACCTCTCGGAATAAAAGAGTAGGTCAGTTTATATTAGTTTAGGTTTTGGTTGAACTGCACATCCCCAGAACATATTCAGCAGGTGACACCAAGTTAAGGAAGGGAGGGAGGTACAACATAATAAAAGTTGCATTTAACTAAAAGACATTAGTAAATAACCATCTTAAACCCATCATTAAAGTAAATTATTATACAGTTGATTAAAAAAATAAATATATCTGTAGACTGATTTACCTGGAAGCCGGCCATCACAGAGCATAACCCACTCAGCTCTCCCTGGCGCCCGAACACACCCGAGAGCTGGTGTCGTTATTGTGCCTCCTCCAAGCTGACTCCACCACACAATTCTCCTCCACCCTCAACATCCTCTCTGAAATGCATCACAAAGTTACCAGGCTCAAGTGGCTAGTAAGGAGAGGTAAGTTTTAAGGATAAGTTGTGTAAATAAGCTGTAAAAACAAGTTGAATAAATAAGTTGTATAACTAAGCTGTTTAAATAACTTATAAACATAAGTTGCATAAATAAGGTACATAAATAAGTTAGATAAGTCAGCTGTACACATAAGCTGCATCAGTAAGTTATATGGATAAACCTAGAACTACTTAATATATCTTCAGGAGGCATCAGGGACTCATAACACTACACTGACACTAATAACTTCACCACAACTGACAAACAAAAAAGGAGCAAATTTGTCAAAATCTTGTGTACTTGAAAGGAAACTTGAGGATTTATCTGCTGATCTTGCTTCTGTTAGCATCACTGACAGGACCAAAGGTGAGTTATATCTGGCCTCTTCTCTTGTGTAGAGGTGTGTGTGTGTGGTACTGCTATGATTAATAATAATATTATTATTAATCATTCTTATTATACTATATCATTATTATTATCAATATCATTACTACTACTCAATTATAATGTTTCCAGGACTTGTGGAACAGAGATGTGTTAACTTTGAAGAATGTAAGCTCAAGTTATTGACCAACACACGTACATACAATTATATTAGTACCCACATACACACTAACCATGGTGATGAGGGAGATAGCCGCCCATCTTCCGCTGTGGGCTTGACTCAGATGTCCGTGGGCGTGGAAAATGGGTTTGGTGAGCCACATACATATAGAGAGGAAAACCCACTCCATCACACCTCGTAAGGGCAGCCATGGAGGGTTGGGGTTGATCAGAGCCTCTAGCTGGTTGTGAGTCGTCCTGTCCAGACGTCTGTAAGAGGACCCACAAGCTGTGCAGAGATGACATCTCTCTGTCTCTGGTCTATCTCTGCTAAACTATTTCTTGCTTCACTAAACCATTATTTGCCTCCCGAAATTATTTCTTGCTTCACTTAAGTATTTCTTTAAACTATGTCTGTCTAAAACACATTTCCCTCGTTAAGTTACACCGAACCTAACATAATCTAACCTAACCTCACTCAAACTAACTTAACATAACCTAATCCAACACCAACCTAACATAATCTAACCCAACCTCAGTCAAACTAACCTTACCTAATCTACTCTGTCACTCACAACTGACCTAACCTAATCCAACACCAACCTAAAATAATCTAACCTAACCTAACCTCACCCAAACTACCCTAACCCATCATTACAATATAAACATTTATGGTTTTGCTTAAATGTTTTGTTAACCTAAATCACTATCCCACTGTCGAAGGGAGGGAAGGAGGGAGAGAAAGATGGTAGGAAGGGATGGAAAGATGGTAGGAAGGGAGGGAAATATGTAAAGTGGAACAAGAGACACTATGCCCCTCCCCCCACCACACACTCTACATCACCGTAGAAGGATCTGCCCCCCCCCCACACACACATTCCTATACAACATTTTGTACCAAGTCGTAGGAATATCTGCAGTGAGTTAACCTGACAAACTTATAATTACAACCATCTTATAATTACAAACAAACAACTTTTAATTGAAGAGATAACATTTAATTACACACACGGAACTTACTATTGCAGACAGGCAACACTGGTTATCACACACACAATACAAACTACTGTATCGTGATCTTACTGTATTTGTCGAGAGAGAGAAAAAGAGTCTTCTCACATTTACTCTCTACAGTACTAGAGGCTCTAGGAGGCTTACCGTGGCGTTGGAGGGCCTGATGAGGTAAGTGGAGGCCAGGAGGAGAAGAGACAATAGGAGTGGTAGAGGGTAATAGGAGGTGGACCTGAGCCTGGTGGCCCCTGAGTGTATTGCCGCAGGTGTCTCTCCTCCTGTAAGATAAACAACAAGGAATCCGGATTACTGGGTGCTATAAATCCCGAAGGCAATAACAGTGTAAATCATAACAAAAACACACATTAATAAGTACATACAATATTCCTGTTTATTAAGTGCAATGTTTACCTAAGACTTAGGAGATAATACTATATACTTGTATTGTTTATATACAGGCTTTATTAACAACAGAGGGAGGAGAGGGTGAAGGAGAAGGGAGGAGAAAGGGGTAGAGAGGGAGGAGGGAGGAGGGGGTGGAGGAAAAGGGAGAAAAGGGTTGGTGGAGGAGGGAAGCTATGTAAGGATGGGCACATTGTAGGAGGAAGTTATAGTAGCGCCTCTCCCCCGGCTCTCAGCTGGGGACCATGATGTGTGTGCTTAGACAGACAGACTTTTTACTTTTTACTTTTATCCTCTTCACCACTGATCGGCTCGTTAGCCGCCCGGGCGATCGGTCACGTCTCTGTTACACACTGTTGGCAAGTACTGGGCATGCACTGGCCCCTGAATGTATCTGAACCTGCTCCAGTGCGGACAGACAGACATAAATCGTCACAGACAGACAGACAGAAAAGGCACAGAGACACACATACACACCCACGTCATGTTTACTATGACTAATATTTAATCAAAATAAGGTTAAGTATTGGCTACCCACTGACGAGAGAGAGAGAGAGTTCAGGCTCTCAACTGGCTCAGCCCTGTTAATATTATGATTATTATCGACTATCTGACAGCGTTCTTTTGGCTAAATAAACCGTATCAATATCAAGAGAGAGAGAGAGAGAGAGAGAGAGAGAGAGAGAGAGAGAGAGACAAAGCTTGGAGTACAGTTTGCCTATCCTGAGTAATTCAGCCAGGTCTTGACACTGAGGGTGGTATCACTTCTCACTGCCACGCAGAACAGAAGTTCATACACAAAGTAGTAGATCTTATTCATTAACAGTATATATAGGTGAGAGTCGTGTGGGTGATTTCACTGTTCACTGCCACGCACGACAGTGGTTCATATACATTGGACGTCATATTCTAATTAAAGACTAATTAGTGTGGGCTAGCAAATTTAGGATAAACAGCAAGAATATCCTCAAGCAACCCTGATTAAATGTAATAATTACAAAGTTCATGATACAATAAGCCAGGTGGCCTGAAGTCTTTGACAGTGTCACATTCAATAATATAGTGTTCAAGTGTATGCTTTAAAGGTTTATCCCAAAGTTTATGCTAGTCTTCCGGTATGGGTACAGCGTCTACTTGGAGATTGGTTATCCTAGCCTAGAGAGAGAGACCTTTGTAAGATAATATACAATTCCACTTTTTCCAAAACAAATTATCAATTTTTTTTAATAAGCTGAGGTAGGTGGAGGGAGACAGGAAGATGGAGGGTGGTGGGAGGGAAGAATGCGGAGGGTTGAGAGTGGAGAAAGGTGAAGGAGGGAAGGAGGTAGGAAGGTTTAGGTCCAAATTGAATTCTTCGATCAGAAACTCCGAGATAAAGTTATATAATATAGCTCGGGTGTATTGCTATATTACTTTTAGGCTTCCTGATCCAAGGAAAAAGGTTCATCTCATCACATTCAGTCTCGGAAAACGTGAGGGAAGTGCTCCAACATAGCAAAATACAGAAAGAGAGATCGTAAATTCCATTTATTGCATCTACCAAATAATTTTCTGAGTTCATATAATTGAAATAGAGGAAATTCGTCCAGTGGGTTACAGTATAGTTGCGATTTTGTCACCTCGGAATATAATCAAGCCCGAGTTTGTTTTGTTAGATTTGTCCAGCAGAATTTCGGTGAGTTCCAACGTGTTTGTTTACATTGGGTGCGTTCCAACGTGTTTGTTTACATTGGGTGCGTTCTAGCGTTTGTTTACATTGGGTGCGTTCCAACGTGTTTGTTTACATTGGGTGCGTTCCAACGTGTTTGTTTACATTGGGTGCGTTCTAGTGTTTTGTTTACATTGGGTGCGTTCCAACGTGTTTGTTTACATTGGGTGCGTTCCAACGTGTTTGTTTACATTGGGTGCGTTCTAGCGTGTTTGTTTACATTGGGTGCGTTCCAACGTGTTTGTTTACATTGGGTGCGTCCCAACGTGTTTGTTTACATTGGGTGCGTTCTAGCGTGTTTGTTTACATTGGTGCGTTCCAACGTGTTTGTTTACATTGGGTGCGTTCCAACGTGTTTGTTTACATTGGGTGCGTTCTCGCGTGCGTCAGCCATGGGGTGACCCGTTTGATGGAATTATCACGCCTTGCTGAGCGTAAACTAATCGATTTCAATGTATCGCCACTTTTGTTTTTCATTCCTGTCTTTTAAACTTTATTTAATTTGTCTGGGAACTTGTAAGTGGGTGTTATATGTGTCTTGGGCGTTTAATTAACAGCGTAATGACGTCGTGAGCCTTTCTCTGCGTTTACAAATATTGTGGTTTTTATATAAATAATCGCAATAAATTTTCAACTGTTTTCTTTTGGAGGGCTAATACTTAATGAGGGATGTATAATCCAGTTAGTTGAAGGACCTAAAACTAAGACTTAATGAACGGTGCTTAATAACCTTGGTGACAGTTGACAAGGAATTGGTGTCCGAAAATCTGTGATTACTTGTCTCTTGTTTTAGGTCTTTGTCTTTCTCTCATGTTTACACCTTTTCTCTAAAGCCCATTCTCTCTATTTCACTCTTACTCTCACTTTATTTCTCTCACTATCTCCCTCTCTTTCAACTTCCTTCAAACCCATGTTAATCAGACGAGAGAGAGTGTGTGATACATCGACCATCAATAATCGTTTACTAGCTCCCTCTAGCGTCCTGCGTCTCAACTAGCGTAGGAGATGGATTTATTGTCGCGAGTATTACATTACGATCAAGAGAGACAGAGCAAACTCCTACAAATGACCTTCAAAATAAACCCTCCCTCACTCTATCACTTGGAGGGTGCAGTATAAGGTCCTACTCCAAAGGAATTCATTATCCAACCCATCTCTTCATCTGTAGGTTTCGATGTTCCCATTAGACACACTCGAGTTTATTGATTACTTAAACACGGCTGGGCATACGAGTCATCGAGGGATTGGGTTAGGCTAGGAGGAGGAAGAAGGAGGAGGAGAACCAGTGGTTTTAACGGGTCATTATTAGTTACAAAACGTGATTTAGAGATCTGAGTGGAAATGGTGGAAGAATGGCGGTGATATTAGCGTTGGGAGAAGAAGAGGATATAGAAGAGGAAGGAGAAGAGGAAGAGAAGGGAGAAAAAAGAAAGAGGAAGATGCCACGTTATTAGACCACCTAGACATCCATTATATTTACCATTACAATAATAGGTACAGGAAGGGGTTAAGTCATTGTAGTGAAGAGAGAGAGACTGTGTGTAGTAGTAGCAGTAACAGTATAACTTGGCCCTGGTCTGTGCAGTGATATACTGCTCTATAAACCCGACTCAGAACTCCATACTATGGACCTGCCCTGTGATTATCGCCAGACCTACGATCCCAAAAGGCGAACGAGATATAAACAAAACCTTACCTTTATTCAGTCTGGATCCCTTGTATGGGTTTAAACGCGCCCGGGAGGCCAATTCACAGTGCGGAACCAACCAACTCACCCTCAGTTTAGGTAATTTCTACTCTTGGCTGATCTAAAGTGAGTTTAAGAACGTTTGGATTTATCTAACATCATTACAATAGATACTCAATCACGCTGAAGAATCACCATCCCAAATTATTCCACCACAAAGAATAAGATTAACCACCCTAATGCTAACCCAACCTAGCCTAGCCTAGCCTAACCTCCTTTGAGAATCTCTGGAATCTTGCCTTGTGTATAATACCTGAAAAATATGAGTCCAACCATAGCATAAGATTATTTTATTTGGCTCATAGTAGTGGCTGAGACAGGTAGGTAGGGTGTTGTGTGTTCCCTACCAGTTATTTCAGTACATGAGTTTAGTTGGCACCGCACTTATTTTTTGGCCCACAGACAGACAGACACAGACACACAAAAAAGCAAATTTCGCTTTTCTCAGTTGTGTTCCTGGAGAGAGAGAGAGAGAGAGAGAGAGAGAGAGAGAGAGAGACTCATCACTCCTCGTCCCTCACAGCTGAGCCAGACAACACCTAGAAGGCATCACATTAATCGTTGCTCCCGTCGTCTACAGATTGACCTTACCGTACCACGCACCCTAACAATTACCTCCAGTTATACAAATCGGACCAGAAGGTGGGTGTGTGTGTGTGTGTGTGTGTGTGTGTGTGTGTGTGTATCCGATTTCAACCCTTTTATGATAGTGCATGAGGTTTACTTAAGTAAGAAATTTATCCCGGATTCTCAGCGCGAATCGTTACCCTAGCTGAGACTAATGTCACACAACAAGTAGAGAGAGGCAATGGAGCCTCACACCGGAAGAGTTGAGATTATGTCAATGCGATGACAAAGTCGTGTACTGTACAAGGTGTACGACATATGATCGATTGTCACTCTTTACACATTGTCGTGAAAGGTATCATATGGTGACTTTCTCCAGTATCAGTGAACTCTTCAATGAAAATGTATGTGCCTGAATTAAGTAATTATGTACACGAGGTACTAGGAATCTATAGTTAAGTTTGAAATAGTACCTTACATGTTATGTTTTGATTTAAAATATTTTGTTGGACAAATGTATTTTGAATTCTTTGTATATATTTTATGTATTTATACTTTTGTCAATAAACTACTACTACTACTGTGTGCCCGTGTGTGTGTGTGTGTGTGTGTGTGTGTGTGTGTGTGTGTGTGCCCCCCGTGTGTGTGTATGTATGCCTCTGTGTCTGTATTTCTCCAAGCCAGATGTCGACCTGATATTCACAACACGTTATCGCTTTAGGAAAAGAGAAAAATAACTCCCAGTTTAATTTAGATAACGTCAGGCTGGGGTTTCCGACACCTGCGAATCCACTTTGTTTTCAAGGGTTGTGTTGTGTTGTGTTGTACTCTCACCTCCAGAAGCTACGTGTTGA